ATTTCACACCTTATGTGGCACATTGTTAGATACATAAATTTCAGTATTATTAGAATGTAGAAACAAAGGACTTGAAATTAGAATTTTTGTGCCCATTGAAGGAACTACATATGCAACAGACATGCACTCTAAAACAAGAACTTCCGAATTGTACTAAAGATCACAAGTTTGAACATTGAAAATAGATTAACATTCAAATAAATAGTACACAATCAACAAGATTAATCTATGAAATCTAGAAAATGTATAAAATAGCAATTGTAAAAGATGATATTCATACCTTGAACCTCAACAAAATTACATGAAAAATGATTCTTGTGCAGTCTAGACAATTGCCACATACGAAAACATATTTTCCCATCATTACAGAAGGAAACCTGCAAAAGGAAAATTTCATTCCAAGAAATAATAGAAGATATATTACCAAAATCGTGAAACAAACAAGGCACAAAATTAATATTTACTACAAAACAGAGCTTCAGTCACAAATCTGACCATATAATTTCCCTGTGGCATTCATACAAAAACTTAACAGTGCAAATGTAGAAAGTACGTAGAAGAAAACNACAGAGCTTCAGTCACAAATCTGGCCATATAATTTCCCTGTGGCATTTATACAAAAACTTAACAGTGCAAATGTAGAAAGTACGTAGAAGAAAACTTACATGAAGGTCTAATAGAAGAGGCACCTCCACTCTATCTTGTGTTGATATGAAATTAGAAAGCAAAAATTGGGTAACATAAACGAACACTAAGGCACTCCATCTTCCGATGGTTGCAGGGAACCAAACAAGAGGAGAAGATACAGGCTGCATATAAAATAATTTTGTGGGTGGAAAATAACTGGCATACCTTGTGCCATGGATGAGCTTTAATCTGAGGAAACCTAAAATCAGTATAATTTGGATTCATACACCGAATTTCTTCTCGAGTCGGAGTTCCAAGAACCTATTTTAAAAAGACTTAAAATTAGTAAATGATTGTTTCATTACTGGTTTTCTTGACCCGTAAAAATGCAGAGTAATTCGAAGGATGCACCTTGATAATTTCTACAAGTTGGTCAACCATATTTCCTCCAGGAAACAGTGGCTGCAGAGAAATTATGGAGTGTAATTGAAGAATACCATTCTGCAAATTTAATGAATGTATGAGAATGTCTCAAACCTGTCCTAACAGAAGCTCAGGAAGAACGCAACCAGCAGACCAAATATTCTGTTGCAGCAAATATGAGTTTCGGGGCCCGGTAGTAACGCGAGCAAATGTATGATATATTTGCTTCACCCTTCACATGACTAAAATAATTATACATGAAGTAATGAATATGCACAGAGCATCAAACAATTAGCTTAAATAACACCACCAGATAACTTCATCTGTGTTCATGACTGAAATTATAATATAAGGAAATAAGAAAGAAAGAATGAGTAACATGCAATAAACATACCAGAACTTTAGCACTGCCTAAGTCACAAATCTTGACCTGGTGTGTAAGAGGGATCAACCTGCAGACAAACAAGTAGTGATTTACAAGAACCTACCAAACAGTGCAACTTAATCCAACAGGGCATACGGGACAGGGAAGTGCCAGATAAAAGTGGTATTGAAACGGCTTACCAAAATATTCTGAGGTTTTATATCCCTATGACATACCCTCGGAACTGTGTGCATATAAGCAAGCCCTCTAAATAACTGATAAAGATGTGTAATTTTATAGAAGTCAGAGATTATACAAACGTAGAGAAGTTACAAAGTAAAAACAAAGCCGAAAAGAATAGAACCTGACACGTGTAGGCCCGGTGAACAATAATACATAGAAATTCATAGATAACATCATGCTAAAATATGAAAACTTTCCTATAGAACCCCGGCCCAACATACTACCATCTCACCCTCGCTAAAACACTTACCATAGCTCCTTCCACTGCGACCTCCGTCAATCATCATCACCCACAAATCGACTACCATACACCCCTGTAAAACTCGAAACCGAAGCTACTGCTCTTGCACTATAGCTCAAAAAATTAGAAGAAATCTACACAAAAGGAAGAAACTGAATATCCACAAACTCCACTAAAATCGCCTAGAATTCGCATATTGCCAAAAATAGGAAAAAACTAAAACCTTACGCACCATCGGAGCACTTGTTCTTGCTGGTATTCAGATTTGACGGCGCTCGGGCATCGCGGTGGTCCAAGGTCCAACGGCGATCCGGCATCGCGGTGGTCCATATGCTTCCCGGTACCCGTGGAGGTGGATGGTAAGAGGAGGATGAGGGCTTGTTTGTAGACGTAGAAGGGGAAGGCTTGGAGCAAAGGAGAAAACGAAAAGGAAAAGTGAGAGAGAGAGAAATGAAATGGGTGAAGAATGGATGAGCATGGGACTTTGCGTGTAGAAATGGAGTGAGAAAGTTGAGAGAAGTCAACAAAAAAAAGGACAAAGAAGCGTACCAAGACAAAAGTGGCAGGGAAAAAAATGGCTGGGCTCGGCTTCTATGACTTGACTCGGAAACGGCTAGGCTTTGGATGGCCAAATGGCTTAGGAACAGTGACAAAAATCTTCCTCTTTTAATATTGTAGAGGAAATGGGAAATTGACATAAAACAGTTTGGCCTTATATAACACTATTTCCTAAACTTTCAATTGTAACACTTCAATAATTTTTTTTTTTTTTTTAATTTTGAAATATTTAGATTGGGGTAGAGAGTTTATCAACTTCATCCAAAAACATATTTTAATTCAATTTTTTTTATTTTTTCTTTATCAAGATTTAGAAATTGTCACCCCGAATTCCATAATTTTCTTAGTTTTTTCTTACCGTCTCTGAAAAATTAAAATGACCAAAAAAGAGAATCTCAACCATTTTGAGAATCTAGCTCCTATTTGAAACATTCTTTCAAAACTTATTTTTAATTACACATTCTTTAATAAAATAATATTTTTATCACACCAATAACTTTTTCTTACTTTGTAACCACATATTTCCTATCATATCACTATTTAAAATACATTATTTCATCAATAATATTCATCAAACACCCCCTAATCGGTATGAAAAAAATAATAAAAATAAAAATATTATTGTAGTTCTAGGTTAGAAATTTTTGGAAAATAAAATTTTAAACACATTTTAGCCAACTTTATTATAAAGACTCGCGAATAGTATCTGACTAGTCATAACTTGTCTGGCTCCTAGTCGCCTCCTCCAGTCCTCCTCTTCCTTCATAACTGTTGATCATACGTTCGTAGTGGTTATTTACGGCTCTATTTGGGAGGGATTTTCAAAATTCTGCAGTAAATCAATTCTCATTTTCAACCACACATTCTTCAATAAAATAATATTTTTCATCAGATCAATAATTTTTTCTTCTTTTTCAACCACACATTTCCCATCATATCACTATTTAAAATCAAT